GGGATCTTATTATAATATTACCGCCCCTTAATCTGTAAGTTTCCATCCACTGCGCCGTCATTGTGTTTTTGCAAGCAACAACGGTGTACCAGCTCTAATGCCATGCCGAAAGTTTGAGCAAAATTGCTTATATTGCTGCTGCCACACAGATCTAAAATAAACATGTGATTTATTTCCCAGCTGTTTACCTTCACAGACATAACCGGCTGTTTTTGCAACTCGTGTGTGTTTTTAACGTAAACTTGTCTGTGAAAGAGAACTTAGTTTAGTACTCACATGCTGTGACAGCCGCTTTCTGTCCGTGTGCTTCGGATGTGTGCGCTCAGAAAAACTTATATCAGAAGTTTAAACTCATATGGTTTAAAACACATGATCTCAGCGCGATAAACATGATAATCAGAACCAAAACAGATGTTTTAGCAGGTATGAGCTGTAAAGGCACAGCTCTATTCTGGAAAAGGGGGCGGGGAGCAGCAGCTCATTGGCATTTAAAGACACAGGCCCGAAAAACAGCGTGTTTCTGCTTCCACTCAAAATAGGCATTTTCAAAATTATATAATAAATGATCTGTGGAGTCTTTTGAGCTGAAATTTCACAGACAAATTATGGGGACACTTGAGACTTATATTACATATCGTAAAAAGGGGCATAATATGTCTCCTTTAATGGATCCTGAGCACATTAATATCTTTCAAAATGGCCTTTAAGCTAATAGACATTGACTAACACCCAGAAAACCCCGAATGTGATTTCATGGGATCTTCAGATTTGTCCAGTGAAAGCAAACTATGGAACGTACCTCATTTGCCCCCAGTAGTTTGGCACTTTCTCCAATACTCTCCTCTATGTAAGTCCTCTCTTCATCTGTAATGGTGGGATGATCTGCTGGGCTCTCATATGAAACCAGAATCCAAAACATGTACCAGACAATCCCAAAACTCCCTGTAACCCAAGGAGTGTCATGAAATCATACACCCAAAAAAGAAAAGTCTGTGATCATCTCAGAAGTTCACAGTGAAGATTATAAGCCTACCATATATATAGAAGACAGATGACCAGCCCGAGTACTGCACTAATATTCCAGCCAGCGGCATGGCCACCACAGCGCCCGCGTATGAACCTGAAACAGGGTGTTTTTACAGGTTTTATTTTGGGAATTCTGTGTTATGTGGGCGTTTAAAAAGGGAAATCGTATTTACCACAAAAAGAGGTGGTTGCTAAGCGACTTCTCTCAAGGGGCGGCGCCCATTTGCTCCAAATCCCATGGCATGCTGGGTAGGTCACACCCTGGACGCACACAGAAACATGTCAATCCATCACCTTAATCGATCAAAATAGTGTCAAATAATTGCCTTTATTGATATATTTTTGAATTACACAGTCCTGCATTGCTGAAATAACTCCAGTGCTTGTTTCTAACTGTTTTGTTTTGTTTTTGTTTGTTTTTTTTGCCAGAAAGACATGATTCCTATCTCCCTATGATGCAACTTACAACTATTTGTTCGATTCTCAGATGATTTTCACATGTATGAATAATTCTGAAGACATTATCTTATGCTGAATCCTGATTTCCACTTTTTTACACTAATTTGCAGATTGTAATGATACCTCTTTATAATACTTAGTTTTCTCAATGAGACTTTCGACGTGACTTCTTTTGTTATTTTGATAAGTGTGTGTGTGTGTGTGTGTGTGTTCACTGTGTGTGTGTGTATATATACAGTATATACTCATAATACATTATATATTTTTGAAAAATCATTATTTTGCTGAAAAAAAAACTGAACGTGATGTAAAGATTTGATAGATATTTTTAAATTAGCATCATCAGATTAGGTAATATTAGGCCTTTTTCACATCAGCAGGGCTGTGTTATGTAAATGAGATAATATATTTGTATATATGCTGTGAATTTACATTCATTATGTAATAAATTATTTCAAATCATTCATGGAATGTCTTACATGGGTCATAAAAAACAGAGAGTAATCTAACCTTTAGCAAATGAACACATACAGTGGCAATTCAAATAAGGATTAATGATCCATGCAGACTTGCACAAACGCAGTCTGATCAGATCTGATTCACCACAAACACACTAATGCCCCCTATTAAATCTTCATTAGCAGCTAATTGTCACACAATCAGTCACTGATAGACACAAATTGCTGCGGCCAGCAGAGGAGAGCACATCCACAGAGCTAATGTCAATACACACAACACAAGCTACTGTGCTTACAATAAAACCTCAAATGGCTTTTAATTCATGTACAGTCGACACTCATTGTGAACAATATAGCAGATGAGCAGCACACAGACAAAGCAGCAAGCAGCTGCTAAAACTCTTTCAGTGTTCAAGAGATGACATCACAAGCCTGTTCTCTCCTTTCAAGCTTTCATTTTTCATAGTTTGTTTGTTCTCTTCTAACCCGTCACTCCTGTGCTTTCAGTGTGTCTGTTGTACTGATGTACAGTCAGTGGGATAATGCACCTGAACGTGACGTGAGTCTGACATCACTGATGTGATGTCCTGTTAACCCTTTTTATTTTTATTATTATTATTATTAAAGGAGACAGAACAAGAAGTCACACACTGGTTGTAATGGGGCAGAGTGGGGCTATACACAGGGATGTTGTCACAAGTGCTATATACTTTTTACTTAAACTGTGTATCTTTAACATTCATCATTATCATAAAGACAAGTTTTATTTGTTTTGAACTGAGAGATGAGTCGAAATTACTGCCTAATTACTGCTAAATGGTATTATGCCACAAATGCTGTCAAACTAAACATGACCCCGTAATAATATTCCAGCATCTGGTTGCTCTGGTGGGACTGAACCTGAAATATGGTTAGTGTAAAACATCTGTTGAATTACTAATCAGCAAATGAATAAACACTACATGGATTAAAAGAGAGAACAGAGTCTTACTTCGACGAGGCCCTGTAGTACCCTGACGAACATGACACAGCCGTAGTGCACACGCGCAGCAGAGGGGATGAACATATTGAGAATCGACGTGAGCAGGATAGCAGCACCAAACACCCTGCAGATCAAAGTGTGCACAAAAGCAATTTGCTAATAGTTTCTAATGGTTTGAAATCATAGATTGGGGAGTTAAACTATATCCAATCGGCAGCAACCATACACTTGACTGATCTGTAGAGCAGATGCAAAAAAGAAAAAAAAGGAATAAATGCCAAGATCGATAGTAAATAACATTTACTGTGTAGACAATAGTAGCCGAAGGCAGCAGTGTCTAGCAGAGAAATCATTCTAAGAATGCTCAAAGGCAGGAAAACACATTTTTTATTTATTGTGTGAGATCTAATTTACATAGGCTGCAGCCATCTGTTTCAATCTGTGAAATCAAATTCATGTAAGTGAATGGAGAGCTCAACCTTCTCAAAGCCAAGATGTAAGAACACAATGTAAAACCCACATTTAACAGATGCTCAGACAGACTTGCTCCTATATATACAGGCTACTGTCTTTACTATTTAGTGTTTTTTATTTTTGCATTTGTATTTTACTATATTGTAAAATGATATTCAGTAATGTCTTCTGTAGAGCTGCTTTACAGCTTTATTGCTTAATTTATCTCATATTTGAAGAAGTCTGCATCACTGATTCTGTTATTTTCCTGATTATTACACTCTAAAAAATTTTTTAGAGTGTACTGTGAAGCTGCTTTCAAGCAGCTGTATTGTATAACGCACTATATAAATAAAGGTGATTTAACAGACTACATCTCTTGGCAATTTTGTGCAATAATACACCATTTATAACATTTTAGAATACAATTTACATAAATTGATTTATGAACCATTAATTGATCAAATATTAATATATATGGTGCATATGCATATTTATGGTGTGCATATGTAAAGTACATATATAATTACATAGACGTGTGTGTATATATATATATAGAATAGAATACGCCTTTATTGTCATTGTATTTTTCTGTATACAACGAAATTAGGAGCACTACTCCTGACTGGTGTTAGAAAAACAAACATATAACCACAGACAATAAATACTATAAGACTGTACAGTACAATTTTGCAAGTAAATACAACAAGTGACTGAGTCCTGATATTCACATTGAGCAATCCGAGTAAAGTGACCATTTATAGTATTGCACGTTGGCCTTCACGTTGATATGCACAGTACGTTTATACAAAAGTACAATTTAAATGGAATGAATGATTTAGTGACTAGAGATAGTATTTCACATTGACATATAGTGTATATTATTGCACATATATATATGCTATAGGTCTCTACTACATATCTACATACTAGGGATCTAAAAATATGAGTCTATTTCAGTCAAAGGAAGTTTTGTTGAATCAGGACGTGTCTCACAGTGAACAGAGAAAATGTGAGAAACACACAGAGTCACGTGAGGCTGTCTGCTGGTTAATGAGCTCTCCAGAGGAAAGCGTGCCTGCTCTTCTGCATTCAGGGCTCATGGCAACCAAATAAAGCACAGAAACCACATGATTTGGCCTTTAAAAAAAAGCATTCAAACTCTTGCCAAACCACTATGTAAAATAAGACATAAATAAATAAATATTTGTGATGTTTAGAAAGAAATTAAATGTAGCCTATGAAACAATTTGAATATCGAGATAAACGCGCATTGTGAATTACCTGTTAGCAGCCAGCCGTGAGCATATATATCCTCCTGGGATCTGTGTCACTATATAGCCCCAGAAAAACGAGCCGTGGATCATTCCCACCGTCTCCGGATCCCAGTTAAACTTCGCTTTCTTTGGGGGAGAGAAAAAAATGTAAAGAAAAAAAAAAAAACACGTTCACGTTAAACGCTTTGAAAGAAACATTTTGCATTTATTTTCCTCATAAAATTTAGATTTTGTATTTCTTATATATATATGTTTTTGTGAAACAGTGTATGTTGAACTGTTTTTTTTTTCTACTTCTTCATCTAAAGGACTCAGATGGTGAGATGCTCTGACTGGCAGGAGACTCGAGGGAGGAGCTTGGGCCCCGACAGGTGAGCTCACCTCTGTGATGATGATCTTGCCGCCCCGGTGAATGGTGCTGTTGTTGACCATGCCGACGATCGCGACTCCGAGGTTGCAGCGGATCCCGAACGAGATGCAGAAGCCGAGGCCGCTCATGATGGCGATGATATAGCGGCGCGGGAGCCCGAAGCACGTGCAGTCGCACAGAGGAGCTTTCTTCTGCTGGATCTGCGCGGGCCGCCCTTCCTCCGTCAGCTCTATAACCTCACCCGTTTTCTGCTTCTTCTCCATCACCCTGCGAAGATACAGCACTGCTCATTTTCTGAAACAAATGTCTCAAGGGCAGCAATTCTTTTCTTTCTTTCCAATTGTGTGTGTGTATGTGTGTGTGTGTGCGTGCGTGCGTGTGTGTGTGTGTGTGTGCATGTTTATGTGGTTTATGAGGACACAAATTTGTATAATAACATGGGTATGACATAGGTATTACAACGAGAAGGTGATTTATGATGACATTTTCAGTGTCCCCGTAATTCAAAAGGCTTATAAATAATTCAGAATGAGTTTTTTTGAAAATCTAAAAATGCAGAAAGTTTCCTGTGAGGGGTAGGTTTAGGGGTAGGGTTGGTGTAGGGCAATAGAAAATACGGTTTGTACAGTATAAAAACCATTACGCCTATGGAGAGTCCCCATAAATCATAAAAACAAACCTGTGTGTGTGTGTTTCTGGAGCGTTCTGGGGGTGTTAAACTAAAGCAAGGTAAAATAACCATAAGAACGCTTGACTGTTGGATCATCACACAAAAACGACCCTGTTACGTTCACAAAAACGTTCGTGGAACGTTATGAGTAAAAAAAAGCACACACGGAACGTTAGGGGAACGTTCTATGTTTGCTAATAGATCATACAAAATACACATCTGTTTTCTGAGAGACGACTATTATTATTATTATTATTATTTTAATTAATTAATTAAATTCATTTCATAGAGTCTGCGGAGAGGAAGTCATCAAAAATGTTTTCTTTTATTTAATAATTCAATCCATCGGCCAGTCAGCAAACGAAGAAGACAGACAGAGTTCTATTGTAATATCTCGATTCTAATCTTTTGTCACGACTTGGCAAACTGAGTTATTTGAACCGCATTGCAGCATTTTTTTTTATCGAAATACATTACAGCTTATTAATGCAGACCTGACCGTAGCTTGATATAATACAGTACGATTTTTTTTTTTCGTTGATTACATATTTTTGTGGCTGCTTCGACGGTTAAATATACGAAACACACATTAAAATATCGAAATAATCCAGTATACAAAACGAATTACATGAAAAGATATAATTTCATATTTGTTATAATGTTGTGGTTTATACGAATGATCTGATCATAGCGAAGATTTTTCTTTTCTGTGATGTGAACCGTTCTGACTCTAAGCGTTTCATAACCTCTGGCCTAAATGTAATCTATACAACACACACACACACACACACACACACACGGCTCTGAAAAATCCACAGTTTTCATAAAACACAAAGAATCTGGACGATTTTGACAAGGTAAACCGGAAAATGCTGAGATTAAGAGCTACTAAAATCATTACAGTTTGTTTTTACTTTATCGTTTAAAAATAGATACAAAAATATACCAGTAATAATAATACCAATTTATTGAAAAGGATTTATTCTTCGCTCGTCATGTCACGACTTTCTTTCGATGCATTATGAATGGATTCAGGAGCGCTGTGGGCAGAGGAGCGATCCTCGGAGGAATTCTTTCATCTCCAGATCTATACACGATCTTTAACGCGTATGGTCACTTCTATTTGCTCCTAACGAAATATGGCGAAAAGAACGCGCTACATTGCAGATTAATGAATCATCATGAATTATGTGATTTATATATATATATAGCCATGCTTATGTGGTTATCGGAGGAGGAAAAATCATTTGAATTTCAGTAGACGTGTTGCCTAAATGGTATTTTGACATGGAGATAATAAACGATTCATATTTTTGTAAAGATCATTAGTGATTTGTAATTTTTTTGTCTTATTTTCGCAAAGGAAGGGCTGATACCTGTGCATGTGTCCCAGGGTTTTCCCGGCCAGATTCCTCAATCTTTCCTTACCGGGGGCCAAAACTCGTTCCTTCATCGTATCCATCGCCAAAAACAATATTCCACTCGATATTAATAAGAAATTTTAATTTGGATTGGCTATAAAATGTTTCAGCATATTCCTCGAGTGTGGAAACCTGAGCAGTATTGTTCGACCCAGTTAAAAATGCGCTTTTATTCCTCGTAGACGACTTATAAAACACCGAGATCAGTCAATACATTAGAAGCTTGATTCACAGCCACTGAGATGTCCTTTGAAACTCCCTTTCCTGCGACTTCTGCAATTCTTCGGTTTTCCATTTTGCCGACATCTTCTCGACTATAAACGAGAATATTCCATCGGAATTCGCCTGCGGAAAAGCCCGAACCAGGAAAATGACAAAGAAAGAGCAAGAACAGAGGTCTGGCGCGAGAGCTCGTTCAGTACCGTGGACAGAGAGCGCGCGCGTCCAGCTGTTCCATGAACGCGGGTGAGCTGCGTGCGCGCTCCTCTCTTTCACTCATGAACTGCTGAAATAGCATGCACTGACATCTAGCTGTTAACTAAGAGCCACTGGCAACACACATGTATGAGTCATGTCATATTAGTCTTAGATGCACTGAGTGGTTTTATCAGGTAGGCTTTTTAAACACCCTCAAGTAATCAGCTTTCACTGGCATTGTGGGCTCTTGCGGGCCGAGACAGTATAATATAATATGCCCATTTTTACAATATGTAATATAAGTCTCTGGTGTCCCCAGAATGTGTCTGTGAAGTTTTTTGCTCAAACTTTCGCCATGGCATTAGAGCTGCTACACCGTTGTTGCTTTTCGCACTGTGGGTGGAAACTTACAGATTAAGGGGCGGACATATTATAATGAGATCCCTTTGCAACGTCTCAAGGGGAGTGAAATCAGACGCGCTCGTTTTCTCAGATGCTTGCAAAAACAGTGGGTTATGTCTGTGAAGGTAAACAGCTGGGAAATAAATCACATGTTTATTTTAGATCTGTGTGGCAGCAGCAGTATACAGTAAATAAATCAGTAAATCCATTGCTCTCTTTGTCTCCTCTGAGGCTGGGACTTTAAACAGTGTTCTGTGCTCATCTGTGATCGCCAGCTTTAGCTTTCAAAGTAAATATCAAGACAGTTAATAATGTCTTTAGTTTTACCATCAGTTCAAGACCAGAGTCGCTTGACAGACACAGTGATGATGCAGTACACAAGTCGCGGTAAAGACGGCTGACGTGCTATGATTTCTGACAGGCAGTTCACTCTCCCGTGATGTGACCCTGTTCCCCTCACACTCACACACACACACACAGGGGGCGTGTTAGAACGAGCCGTTTTAGGTAGGCGTGGCTGACTCTTAACTTTTATAAAGAATATCTCTTTGGATTTGAGACTTTAGTCTTTGCAACTTTACAGATCTTCTTTATGCACCAAGAGCTTGTAACACTCCAAAGAGAAAGGAAAAAATGAAATCGCATCATATGAACCCTTTAAGGGTAGGGCATGAAAAATGACTCTTGTGTTTTGTAATAGGAATAATGACCACAAGCGGGCGCTCAAAGACAGGTCGGCACATGCAGGAGTCAATGTCGTTTGCTTGCCCGGATCTGTTAAATTATTCATAATTATATCAAAGTTGCAATTCGTGCAGATATGTCTTTGTGTGAAATTCGTATGCTTTTCTATTTCAGCTTCTTATGTAAAATAATGTTGATTAATTTGTGGGGCAAATTAATCGTATACTACTAACAATATCAATGTCTGTATACGGTATTAAATGTTTAATGTATAAATAGTGTACACTGGAAAAAAAGATACTTTTAGATATTTATTTGCTACAGCCAAATTTATAAGTTTGGTCAAACCTTAATTTTTTTTTGTTTCATATTAATAAATACAAACATTTATTTTTGCAGACACAATTTTCACACAAAGTAAAAAGATTACTTAAAGACCACAATATTTATTCAATACATTTTTACACAGATGCCAAAATATTCCTTAATGTAGGTTAATATAATATATATTTTTGGCTTTTTATAACTTAATGTCACCATAAACAAAAGCTAAATTAGCTTTAAGTGGAAGTAGAATTTTCGCAATTTTTAAATCAATGTTTAATTTAGTCTGTAATTTTAAGTACAGACATGAATGTTCACTTAAGACCTTAATGTTTATAGTAGCCTAATGTATTGTTAATGATTCATACACATCAACATTCACCAACACTGATGTAAACCGATAATTTATTAATTGTTTTCTGTGGTTCGTGTTGGGTCAAAGCATCTCCAAAACAGCGAGTTTTGGGGTGTTCAGTGCAGTGGTTAGTACCTAGCAAAAGTGCTGCAAGAAAAGACCAGCGGAGAACTGGCATCAGGGTCCTGGGTGCCCAAGGCTCATTGATGCACATGGGAAGTGAAGCCTAGCCCGTCTAGTCCGATTACACAGAAGAGCTACTGTAGCTCGAACTGCTGAAAAACATAATGCTGGCCTCGTGTCAGAACAACACAGTGCATCAGTTTTTTTGCAAATGGGGTTTTGTAGCCGCAGACCGGTCAGAGAGCCCTCGATGACCCCTATTCACCGCTGAAAGCTCCCGCAATGTGCATGTGAGCATCAGAACTGGACCATGGAGGAATGGAAGAAGGTTGCCTGGTCTGATTTTTTTTTAGATCAGGTAGACAGCCGGATGCATGTGCATCATTTGGTGCAGAGATGGCAGCAGGATGCATGGGATGAACTGAAGGCAGGCTGGCAGAGGCGGTGTAATGCTCTGGGCAGACCTCGGGTCCTGCATTCATGTGGCTGTGGTGTTCCCTAATGGCAGTGGCAATGCACCGTGACACATTGCAGGAACGACAAAGAGTTCAAGGTGTTGCCTTGGCCTCCGAATTCATCAGATCTCAATCTGATTGAGCATCTCTGGAATGTGCTGGACCAACAAACCCGATCCAGGGAGGCCCACAACTTACAGGACTTGTCTTAAAGGATCTGCTGCTAATGTCTCGGTGTCTTGAGGAGTCCATGCCTCAATGAATCAGAGCTGTTCTGGCAGCACAAGGGAAGCCTACATAACAATACAAAGGTGGTTTTAATGCTGTCAAAGTAATGTCATAAATCACATTAAAATCATGCATGTGCAGTACTGACCCATCAGTCTTATGGACTAACGATGAAGCATACGTTGTCATATATATACAGTATATATATATATGAAATATAATTGTCCTACCCTCTCTCAAAGTGCCTGAAATTTTTACATAAGAATTCAAAGCAACGTCCACAACAATTAAAGACCAGAGAGTCTCTGTTGGATTCCATAGTTTATTTGGATGACAATAGTTTGCCTAAAGAATGAAAAACGGAGTACATTTCTTGTACATTAGCAGAACAGAAAAAAACACACTCAGATTCATATCCACATCCAAAATAACCATGCATAAAAACAGGCAAAAATCAACTTCAAACAGTGTTCGTAAAGAAAAACGCAGATAAAGGTTAAGGCATAACCGCTGATCATTCGATCACCCAGAACAGCTCTATAACTTCAACGTCTAGCTGAAATGTCAAAAAGGTCAGGTAATGTTTGACTGATAAATGGCTTTTCACCTCATAGCACAGCTCGCAGATTGTCAGCTACATAAATCAACAGTCAAATATTTTATGAATAACAGTTCTACAACCGACAAAACGGTGACTAAATTCTTCATATTTAAACCAGAGACTGAAAACAAAACATTTACAGAAAAACTTAATGATTTCCAAATTAAATATTCAAGTCACAAATAACAGCAAAACGCACATGCTAAGATTTGTCATCATCATTAGCAAATAGACATGTCAAACTGCCAGCTGTTCATGGTCCTCATTATAATTATTTGAAGTTTAAACTTTTAGTCCAATGCCAAACGAATGATCAGACTGGCATATTATAAATACAAGGGTTGTTTGTCACACATCTTGCTTCAATAACACTGAGATAAATTACTCCTCATTAAGTGCTTTGTGCGTCCTTCTGACCAGGACAACACAGTAAATGAATTGTAAAGGAAACACAAATAAACACTCAGCGTGGATTTTGCATTTAGATAAAGGCACATTAAAAAGATATTAGCTTTGCCTTTCAAATCGCCAGAGCAACTTTGGCTTTGAGAAGAGTTTGTTTCCTGTCCATCAATGTAAAGCTTTAAAGTGCAGATCACCTCTAACTATGAACACAGAGTGATAACTGCTTTATAAATAATGTGAGTGAAGATTCAACACCTCCGTCACCCAAACAGCACAGCAAGAGTGTAGTGTGCATATTTACTCATTTTTAGCATAGAACCTCTTTTTTTGCATACAATTTCCAGCAAATAAAATAAATCTAGTATTATAGGATGCTTTAAAAAAGGTGCTGCATCAAGCTATGACAGAATACTGCAAAATAATGTGAGTGGCAGTTTGTCAAATATTGTACATTTTTTATCATAAAAGAAAATACACTAAATTTACAAAAAACAAACAAAAAAAACCCACGCCAGTGTGTAATAATAATTATAAAATTCTTTGTACATGAATTCTGAACATACAGTAAATAGAAGTGTTTCATATTAAAATGTAAAGGATCCATGCATATGTCTATGATGTTAAGGCATTTTAATCTTTGGTATCTTAAAGGCATTCTAAGCAATAAAGTTTGTCGCTGAGTTCTTGTATTTTGAGTTCTTGTATTTTGATTGTGAAGGAGACACTAGTCTATGCTGGAATTCAGAGTGAATCACACAAATCCTGAAATGTCCAGTTTATATTTGACCCAGTTTGGTTTTGGGCTGAAATCTAACATTTCAACTGTCAGACTTTCACACAGTGCGTCACACAGACCATAAACAGTCTGTCCTGTATGTTTGCAGTGGCTTACAGAGACATCAACAGAGAACAATGACGTGGAAAGCGTGAGAAAACCTACAATAATTGTTCCTGAAGAGTGAAAGCGCCAATCTGCATAGACAGAAACTGAGTTACAGCTCACGTGGCTTTAGGTATATCTAAACACATGTAAAAGTTATTAGACAAACTTTCCCCTTACGTAGGCATCTCTTTGAGGTCACATGACTGAAAATGAGGGCTCTGGGAGACGTAATATGGGAGTGATTTGTCAAGGAATATCCCAAACAGTGGATGTGGTGTGAAAAGATTATCGAACATAATCAGTGAGATATGAGGAACCAGTGGCGTGTGATTTTGTGATGAGACCGAGAGGACTGGTTTGAGACATGGGCTGAGTGAAAGCTTTCAGGTGCTAGTGTCAAGGTCAGGCCTGTGTTAGCTCAGACAGTCTGAAAACACCTCCAGCTTCACTGACGTGGCGGCTGTGGCGGGACATGTGCACGGCTCGATGTTCGGACCGTTCTGGCTGAGCTGGATTTTGAGTTTTTCCAGCTCGTAGTCGTGCAGGTACTCCTGGATGAGGTAGTGCTCGCGCTTTGTACGAGCTTTCACGTCTGATGGCACGTCGGGGATCAACCACGCCACAAAGAACTTCACCACAAACACCACATGCTGGAGAGAAGAAGAGTATTAATGCAGTTTACTATTATTTCAATACTGATAACATACATTTATTAGCCATGTCAAATCAACAATCAAATTATTATAAGCTGATACATTCATAGAATGAATGAAGCAATGTGTCAGGGTGTAATATTTAATTTGAGATTTAATTAATATTTTTTCACATTACTTTTTTAAATAATTAGACTAAATTGCTATTAATTTGACAGCAGGTAACTGCCTAATGAGACCAAGCATTTTTGCTGTGATGGAATTAGAAACCAAACGGTTCAATCTCAGTGGACCCTTTCATAATGAGTGTGAACATTTGATGTACAATCATGAAGCATCTTTGCATCATGTTGGTAGATATGTTTTATTAACAGTTGCAGTCTACTAATGAATGGCAGGAGTGTATTTCACATTTCTAGTGCAAACGTTTCCCTGTAAAAACCTGTGATGCTCAGAGTGTGAATATCTGTGGTGTGAATGTCTGTCTGTGAAATATATGTTGTTTTGATTCATCGTGGTGCAAATGGACCTTAACAAATAGTTACCTGATTTTATCATTACACTTAACAATGCTACAATTAGCATATTCAAAAACTCCAGAGCTGGATCACACAATCAGCCTTGTGGAAAAGAACTGCTCAACGTAAGTGTGCAAGTGTTCAAATGTACTGAATGTGCACTTGTAGTGTACTTCAAACAACTACTTGCAGATAATATAATATTAATCAAATTAAAGACCACTTAAGTGTACTTTACTATGACTGTCTCTTAACACACTTAAGTTCAATTTTAAAACATTCACTTTGTAAAAATCATTTATCATGCTTTCAGGAACACTTATTTTGTCATGTTGATAAAGCACACGTGAACTTGATTATAATTTTAACTGTACTGCGTTATTTGATTACATTTAAAGTTACCATATTTTAAATGTACTAAATTAGAACTAGCATTACAAATGTGTAATTACAAATAAGTTTAAATATATGACATAAAAAGTCAACAGAAATTATATTTAAGTATGTTTTGGTTCCCCATAAAGGCTCGTCAGTATATTCAACCATATTTCAAAGACAATAGAAGTGAAAATACATATAAAGATGTCTGCCATACTTAAGAGGGTCAAGTTCAGCTAAATGCATTTATTTGAAATTTAAACCATAATTACATTTATGCAATTAACATGCAGATAAGTGTCTGGAAACATTACATTCAGTTTGCAATTAAGTATATTTTATTATTCTAACCCTAAGTTTTTTATTTCCATGATAAGTACTCTTTTTAAAAGCATGCAAAAGTGTAGTTATTTGTGACACAGGAAAGAAGACAGTTTAAGAGCTCATACCTCCATAATGATGATAAAGGCTAATTTGGCAGCGAGAATGTGCCAGAACTGCATGGTGTGAGTGTACTGTTTCTCGTGTCCTGGAGGGTAGCGGTAGTCACGGTACCTACAGCATCCACACAGCATTCATGTTTATGACACGCTTCTCAGCGTTAGCACAAATCTATCAATAAAGAGATACAGCACAAGCATACACAACAGTACCTGCAGGTGGTGATGTTGGAGCTGTAGAACCAATCCGGGTTCTCGCCCTCCTCTGGACGGTTTTCCACTGGGATCTCGGAGATGTTGAAGATGGAAAGGCTGTTGTTGATGTATCCTTCCATCGTGCTCTCAGTACCCAGGTGATACGCGTACTTATACACCAGCCGAGGGATCATGTCAGACGTGAATGAGACAATGAAAGCCTGAAGGACAAATAAAATACATTTAATGCTGTTACATGACCTACTTTGATATTTCTGTTCACGGTATGCTTCATTACCAGTTTATAAGCAAAGAAAGTTGACGACAGGCTATATGCAAAATAATATAATCAAGATGTAGATGTACCAATGATTCCTTTTAGCTGGCTCTTGTTAATGAATCAGTCAAAATTACTCACTGATCCATCAGTTTGAATCGTTCAACCAACTCTGATGTAGTCAAAGTGGATCCTGACTCATTATAACTTTTGAGTTTAATCTCATACAGACTCACATTCGTGACCACTGAGAAAACGGCAATCATGTTGAGGATCTCGTCCCACGCGCCAATGCTGTGCGCTTTGGCTGCCACGGGCCGGCGGAACTGAGTGGTGAATTTCCAGGCGTCCACTCGCACTTCCAAGATATTATTCATCAGAGCCAGCAGAGGAGCCAGCGGGAAAGAAGCCACAAACAGGGTGATGAAGCCAAACTGGATAACTGCAAAACAAAGATGAGATGAAATGTTTCTCCACATAAAGATGAGCTACAGCACCATCTGTCTGTAAAACTGAGTTATTGGAGGCTGAAAGTTTGTTCATATAGAAGTTGCAGGTGTATGAAGCCCCAGACATGACAAGTGGGAAAGAAAAAAATTATATCATGGCCACAAATTTACAATATGTTCCCATGACTTATTGATACACCAGCACGATATACTAATTAATTCCCTTGTTTTAAGTAAATCATGCACACGTTTCACTAATTCGTTACCTCATTTCAGTGAATTTGTGCATATGTTTACTAGTCTCAGCTTCAGACGTCACGCTCACCGACTGTAGGCTGAACGTCTGACGTATATGACACACAAAATTGGAAACACTTTCAAAGTCGTCATCTGATTGGTTGAATTCTACAGGATTTCCGGGAGACGTGTGTCGTGTTCTGGAAACAAAGATGCCGTGACGCCAAAGCCCCTCATGTTAGAAGAAAGCTGTCGTGTTTACAACTGTGACGATGAGCGCTTATCAGGATCAACTGAAGGCTGGATTTTCAAAAGTATGTGAAATATTTAAAGTTCACGGCATAGAATCTTTAGAATAGGGATGCACCGATAGGATTTTTTGGGGCCGATACCGATACCGATTTTAACGAACACTTATTGGCCGATTCTGATATTTGTCACTTCCTCTCTTATTTGAAATTTTGGCATCAAAATAGATAGTATTTTGATCATGTTTTAAATCAGCAAAGTTCAAAAACACCTGCATTAAATTATACTAGCAGTTTTATTGCTGCATCATCAAATAATTTCTAATGAACATGGATTGCATCCATTTAACATTCAGCAGGCCTACATAAATACAACAGAACAAAGATACATATTAAATTAACAGTGCTTTTTAGGTAGGTTTAACAGTTTTCAGGTACAGAAATAAAGTAAACAAATGTAAAATAACACTTCACTGTATAAATTAAATACATATTAATCCTTCTTTATTGTAACAGACTTTATTATGTTTAATCTTCTATTTAGTTTTTGTATACATTTTAATATTTTTTGTAAGTTTAAATATGTATGAGATCTCCTTTACTAAGGCGGGACTCTAATTTTGATGGGTTTTCTAGTCTATGGAGCAGTTATGGGTAATGAAAGCACGCAGTTCTTCGGATTTAAAGTTTGTCAGTTTATTAAGCACCCACCGAAAAGATCTGAGATCTGTATATATTTGTTTACTGTTAGTTGTAATAAGTGTTTTGTGTAATTTGCTGTGTGTTGATGATAATGCAACTGAGAGAGAGAGAGTTTAATGTGCACTTCTCGTGCTGTGTTTTGTTGAACTCTTATGGTGATATTTTTGGAGTGAAAAAAGACGCAATAAACTTAATAAAACATCAGTAAAGTTTTGGTCATCATTCAGATGAGGTCCGCTACACTGATGAAAGTTACAAGTTATTTAGTCAAGAATAGTGTGCGATCTTTTGTCTTTTGGTATTTGATTAGCATTAAAGTGCAGACAGCAGCGCTAGGATTATGCAACAGACATTATTCAGCTCAGTGCCTTCACACAGTTAATTAATAAACCATCGGTTTGTTATATCGCCCTTTTTCCTTATATAGCCGCTATGCCGATGGTTGTAAATTGAGGAAAAATCGGCCGATAAATATCGGCGGCCGATACATCGGTGCATCCCCTACTTTAGAATATGTCCAAGAGTTTTACACATCGGTGTGTTATTGTGGGGACATTTCCACGCCCCTAAACATGACGCGGCACAAAACGAAACGTGATTGGTTGCTTTACCTGTCAGTCATATGACCTCTCGGGCGGTCCTTGCTATTCAAAGCGGCCAAGGTTCCCAGTCCTTCTGCCGTCAGTCTAACGCGAGACTAATGTTTTACTAACTTCCCTCTGCAATTACATAAACCCCGTCCTTTTTTTGCGTCGTGAGAAAAGACCTCTATTGCTGCTGTTATGAAACAAGTTATGACAGGACTGTAACGAGGATGTAGCCTGTTCACAAAGAGGCTGTAATTGGCTATTCACAATTCATACAACGAACAGAACCGATTAGTACATCGTGCACATGATGTACTTAAAACAAGGTAACAAATTAGTAAGTCATGCTCACGATTTCCTTAAAAGGAGGTAATGAATCAATAAGTCGTGGGAACTAATTGTTAATTTGTGGCCATGATATATATATTTTTTCCCTGCATGTCATGTCTGGGGCTCCGTATTGGTGAGTTAAAGTAAATCAGTGAAGCTGAAGTGAAGCTACTTTGAAACTGTAGTCATTACAAGCTATTTATGATTTAAAGTAGTTAAGCTACATTAAAAATACTTATTATGAAGTAATTAGCAACACTAAACGTTTTACAAGACTAACAACTAAGATTAAACAAAATTAACAAAATGCCAATTGATCAGCTGACATCTTTCCAAAAAACGTGCAATAGACAAAAAGTCCATAAAACTTTGAAAACTAAGACCAGTGCATGCCACTGCAAAGACCGCAAGTTCATCCCTCACAGCCTTTTCTTCTATGGCATCGACCCAGACCTAAGTCTAGAGCAGATCATAACTTACTTTAACGTCTGAGCAGTATTAATTGGGCACAAACACAACAAGGATCTCAATTAGGGTGACAGATTGAAATTTGAACCAGAGCTTTCAATTGAAAAAAATTATTTCAAAATGAAAAAAAAATTTGCTCAATATTTGCTGAGAAAAGCCCTTGAATGAAGCGATGTAAAGGGTTTGTACAGTCAGCCATTTCTTTTTAAATTGCAAAATAATAAGCCCTGATAGGGTGATCAGGACCGCAGCTCAAAGCCGGCTCATTACACAGCAACATGTAACAAATAAATGGGCATGAAATATTGATTTGACCTGAAATTATTAGCTTTCCTGTAGAAACCACAAAAAGATCAAGTACAAAGTATTCCAGAGAGCCGTGTAATAATTTAAAATACTATATTGATTTTAATTTTTATATATACTACCTGTTATATATCATATGTTATATATTCTATGATGATGTAGTTATATATTTTTCAGCACAGATATACTGTAGCTGCCGGACACTCACCCATCTCCAGGTACTCGTAGAAGAGGCCGAGCTGACTGAAGGTCTGCAGGTCATGATCCTGCTCCCAGCGGCTGTACAGACTCTCCGGATGATTACGAGCGCTTCTGCTCACCCACCAGTTACGCAGCCAGCTACACACAGACAGAGAGATATATAAAACACCACCCACTAACAATACATACACAACACATGAACATGCACAGGAACACATCTTAAGTGGATCTGAATCATTAATATTCTCGGTGTACTATCATCAAAGCAGGCACAACATTAAGAATATACCCTGGTCATGCAACAGATAACGAGAGTCTTGTGTGATTACGTCATGTCATGTGGACTTACGGGACGAGAGCTTCCTGTATGTTCCCCCACACCTGTTTACCCACCATCACGATCACTAACTGAGTGGTTAACTCGATCAAACAGCCGCCTGGCTCGCACTGCAAACACAATTATGATGTTCAGAAATAAACAATACTTAAAGGTGCTGTATGTAGGATTGACACCATGTGGTTGAACTAGGTATTGCAGTCCAAATTCAACATATTGGAGAGGGTTTTTTTCACCCGGCCCCTCCTCCTCAGACTTGATGCACACACAGGTTGCCAGATTGACGACACCAACAGGAACGAGCGCACTTGACGATGAATGAAATACGCTGTTTTCCGCCAACTGGCAACCCGGAAATACAATTGGGTAAACCCGCAGTGGGCGGAGTCACACAGACCAAAACAAAGACAGACATTCCGACACGGAACGCACATTTTCAAAGGAGAATAACTGACTGTAGCATTGTTTTTCAGAAAAGCAAGTATGTTAACTTAGCATGCTTCTTAAATATCTGCAAACATATGGTATTTTTATGCTTTAGTACAGTCAAAAACGTACATACAGCACCTTTAAAACTGATCTACTAATGAGTATAATATTAAACGATGATATACATTTTCCTTAATGTATTTAATATTATCCTTAAACTCTATACTCGATTAATACAGTAAAATAATGGCATGAGGAAAACTGTAAAACTTTAATCAGGCTCATGGGATCTCGGGTCTACCTCTTCATTTCTCCACTTGCCGAACATGTAGGCATAGTCTCCAGGGTAACCCACAAACTTGCCCTTGAAAAAGGCGACGTAGAAGCAAGAGGAATAGTAGTTGACAAACTGGAAGAGGAACATCTTCACCGTTAACTTGTTCTCGTACTCCACATGGGTTTTGGGTACCTCTGTGGACAGAAGAAGAAGTGAATAAAAATCAGCGCACAAAAATCCTTACATTATGGAAATACTTTATTAATTGAACAATATCCAATTGTTTCTCTTTTTGTTTATTACAAGCTATAGAACACAAAATGAATTGACTGGAACAAATCAGAATGATCCGTTCACAAATCGGAAATTAGAAAGTGCCAAGGTCAAATAACCTTATGTAGTTTTTTTAGTTATTGTGTTTATTGAAAAGTTACATCACTTTAAATTTTAAATATTTTTTAAGGTTTTAGGTGGGAAAAAGAGGCTGGGAGTCCCATATACTTTCTAAAGACTCACCCATATCAGTGATCTTTATGGCTACACGCTCATACAGGAAGTTGAGAATCATGATGATGACAAAGTTGATGCAGGAAGCCGTGACGGATGTGGCGAACTGCGGCGTGATGAGGGTTCCCACCACATCCAGCTTATTGGTGGGGCTGTCCTTCATGATGCTGGCAAACGCCGCAAACACCGCCAGACGGTACGCAATCACACCGATTATACAGGCGATAATCAGAGAGATCTAGGTTTTGGAGTGAGAGAGGTACACATCATACACACACACACACAACAACTCACTCACCGCAATTAGTATTACTACTCAATTATCCATGCAAAAATATTGTTAAAAAAGAAAAACAAAACTATGAACATGCAGTGCTTACTAGAACACGTCAAAACAGTCAAATGCTACATGATGCTGGTAAAAACATGCATCCTCAGGCAAAATGTTCTACAGCAAACATCAGATACTGATTTAACTTACTTACTTACTGATGTGTGATTCGGTGTCCATACAGTCCAGCAACTTATTAACATTCAATATTAAGTTTTACGCAAATCACACCGATTATACAGGCGATAATCAGAGAGATCTAGGTTTTGGAGTGAGAGAGGTACACATCATACACACACACACAACAACTCACTCACCGCAATTAGTATTACTACTCAATTATCCATGCAAAAATATTGTTAAAAAAGAAAAACAAAACTATGAACATGCAGTGCTTACTAGAACACGTCAAAACAGTCAAATGCTACATGATGCTGGTAAAAACATGCATCCTCAGGCAAAATGTTCTACAGCAAACATCAGATACTGATTTAACTTACTTACTTACTGATGTGTGATTCGGTGTCCATACAGTCCAGCAACTTATTAACATTCAATATTAAGTTTTACGCAGATTATGCAATAATCTATCTGCTATACAGTATAATATGTGTATATTAGCTCTGTTCCAAAACTATAGGTGCGTCCCAATTCACATACTTGTGCACTATTCTATGTCATTATTTAGTATGAATAGTGTGTATACATTAAATTATCAAAAAGAAAAAGTGCATTTTAAATTCCTGGAACATACACTTAAATAACCAAAAAAATAAAAATGTGTACACTTGGACACTTCATGCACTCAACTGTCACAGCTTTACTTACATAATGGAGGGGTGACAAAATAACCTTATATAATTCAAACACTAGATACATAGTGTACAGTGTGTAATTTGGGACACAATTATTATTAGAATCTATACTACCAATATAGGCAGCATCCAAACTACAGTGGAACCTTAAGTTCCTAATTTGGACCACTGCACAAAGGCAGACAATAAATACAACATAATATATCATTTAATACCCAACATTATACAAAAAGCGCTCCTCACGCAAAGTTTGCAGGAGATTTGATTTAGATCTGATTTCAAATGTATTTGATATTAGCATATTGCTAAGCTAACAACTCTAATATGCATGAAAGTACATAGCAAGCGCAAATATTAAGTAAACAGTCTACAGCTACATCATTTTCTAGATATATTTCAGTATTAAATAGCATACTTGTATATGATGTCTTAAACTGTCATATGCAGGCAGCTCACTAGCCGTTGGAACAGAGCTAATATATTCAGTGGGGTTCAAAAATCTGAGACCACTAGTGAAAATGCTTCTGTACATTCTGTAATGAGTGAAGGGTTTTATTTTAAAAAGTATTTGGTGTCTCCCTTTTGCTTTAATGACTCAAGCTAAACAAAACCTCAAGTTATCCAGCATGACTTTAAAATGCTTCAAAGAGCATTAAACACATTTGCTTATTTGATTATTGAAGAAAGGTGCAGATTCTTAAATATTTCTTGTTCAATGTGATAACATGTCTTATGTTTAAAAACTGAATACATCCAAATTTCCAAGTTAAATTCAATTTTGAATCCCAGTTTTTCAATGTTGTTTAGGACTTTTGGACCCCACTGTATTTTTGTACATCCCTGACATTATGTGCTAATATAAAAAGGCACTTATAACAATTTGACACAATTTGTACTGTATATATATATATATATAAAATATTGTTAAAAAAGAAAAACAAAACTATGAACATGCAGTGCTTACTAGAACACGTCAAAACAGTCAAATGCTACATGATGCTGGTAAAAACATGCATCCTCAGGCAAAATGTTCTACAGCAAACATCAGATACTGATTTAACTTACTTACTTACTGATGTGCGATTCGGTGTCCATACAGTCCAGCAACTTATTAACATTCAATATTAAGTCTTATGCAGATTATGCAATAATCTATCTGCTATACAGTATAGTATATGTGTATATTAGCTCTGTTCCAAAACTATAGGTGCGTCCCAATTCACATACTTATGCACTATGTAATTTATTTAGTATGAATAGTGTGTATACATTAAATTATCCAAAAAAAAATGTTTCTTTCATTTCAAATTCCTGGAACATACACTTAAATAACCAAAAAAAAAAATTAAAATGTGTACACTTGGACACTTCATGCACTCAACTGTCACAGCTTTACTTACATAATGGAGGGGTGACAAAATAACCTTATATAATTCAAACACTAGATACATAGTGTACAGTGTGTAATTTGGGACACAATTATTATTAGAATCTATACTACCAATATAGGCAGCATCCAAACTACAGTGGAACCTCTTAAGTTCCTAATTTGGACCACTGCACAAAGGCAGACAATAAATACAACATAATATATAATTTAATACCCAACATTATACAAAAAGCGCTCCTCACGCAAAGTTTGCAGGAGATTTGATTTACATCTGATTTCAAATGTATTTGATATTAGCATATTGCTAAGCTAACAACTCTAATAAGTATGAAGTACATAGCAAGCGCAAATATTAAGTAAACAGTCTACAGCTACATAATTTTCAAGATATATTTCAGTATTAAATAACATACTTGTATATGATGTCTTAAACTGTCATATGCAGGCAGCTCACTAACCGTTGGAACAGAGCTAATATATTCAGTGGGGTTAAAAAATCTGAGACCACTAGTGAAAATGCTTCTGTACATTCTGTAATGAGTGAAGGGTTTTATTTTAAAAAGTATTTGGTGTCTCCCTTTTGCTTTATTGACTCAAGCTAAACAAAACCTCAAGTTATCCAGCATGACTTTAAAATGCTTCAAAGAGCATTAAACACATTTGCTTATTTGATTATTGACGAAAGGTGCAGATTCTTAAATATTTCTTGTTCAATGTATAACATGTCTTATGTTTAAAAACTGAATACATCCAAATTTCCAAGTTAAATTAAATTTTGAATCCCAGTTTTTCAATGTTGTTTAGGACTTTTGGACCCCACTGTATTTTTGTACATCCCTGACATTATGTGCTAATATAAAAAGGCACTTATAACAATTTGACACAATTTGTACTGTATATATATATATATATATATAAATATATATATATAAGAAAAAATTAAATGAAAAAATGTAATTATTAGTTTGCCAAAAGTAGCAGATGGTTTTGATGCTCACCCAGAAGAGGACGGTGGCCCCGGACAGTACTGAACGAGCACACTTGCTTGTTAGAGGTAAATAAGGCTCCATCTCCTACACAGCAAGCAAGCAAAGCAGGGATCATGAGCAACCACCACCACACACCTGGCACAGGAGCCCTAAACTAGCACTGTACTAGTGCTGTCAGTGGCTCTCTACGAGGACTCTTCCCGTTTCCAATGAGTCATCTGCCATCTCTACAGTAAAGATTAATTCTACAACTACAGTCTTTCAAAGCTGCGATCACACTGCAAGCAGGCTGCTAATGCTACACACACTCTTACACACACACAGAAACCGATCTACAGTATTGTCGTCTTGTGCCTGCCTTACCCACAAAACAACAGTGGCCCAGCACAGGATAAACCTGCCTGCTTTATCAGCTGGGCTCTGGTCTAGAACCCACTCCGGTTCCTACACAATACGAACAAAACCAAACAAACACGCAGATTATCTAGTTTCTCAGTTGGCTGGTGGATAAACGAACCTTCACTACCAACTCACCTTCCGTTTGTGAAATCACAACACCTGACTCTGTCACTTCATATTCTGCCCATTTTCTGTCAAATTAATATATTATTAGGACCTCAAGAGTTTTACAAACCTAATATACTAATATGATGGTTTGAAATTTGATTGAATATGACTTTTGAAAATGAACACTAGGTTCTTCAGATTTGTCACTCAAGGTGATGATACATGGGGCAACTTTTCTGAGCAATGTTGCTTGGGCACTTTCCCATTGAGAATGGGCAACTGAATACTTTAGATCGGTCGTGGGCCCTGTGTCTCACCTGGTTGTCCGTTGACGGCAACATTGCTCAAAAAGTTGCCCCGTGTATCATCACCTTTATGGGCCGTTCACACAGAACGAATCGCTGCATCTAAAAACCTGAGACTTCTGATTGGTCCACTGTTTTGGAACTGACACTGATGAGGGGCGCTGCGTGCAAAAATTGAAATTCTCGACCTAATTATGTGGTGCTCATGTGCAAGAAGATGCAAAAGAAACAAGACGCGAGCACAATGGTCATACACGTCCGTCTAGCTTGTGTTTACGTAGAAAAACAATGGAAAAGTAGCGCATTGGAATGGAAAAACACATTCTGTGTGAACAGCCCCCGACTCTTTCCACGTTTAATGAACTAGTGTATGCGGCATTCACTACGTTCAGCTAATAAACACTGAAATTATGTCTTTCCAGACACTTTCTTGAAGATTAAAAACATTATAAACATTCAATTGTAAATTGTAATTCTGAATATAATAGCATTCCATAATGGCTTGTTTCTGCCACGTGATAAAAAACATCAAAAAGGTAATTGCAACTTTTTATCTCACAATTTGGACTTTTTTTCATGCAATTCTGAAAAAAAGTCAGATCTGTCATTTAAAAAATTGCAATTCCTTTTTGATTTTTTATTCCATGGCAGAAACAGGCTTCCATAAAATTCTGATATTTGCATTATTATTATATTCTGAAAATGTTCCTATAATTCTGTATCTAGCTGTTATATTTCTCTACTGGAAGCTTATGTACGAGGCAATGAAAGTCTGATTTCAATGAAGTCAATGTCTTTGATTGAGAGGCTGATCTGGGATCAGTTTTCTCTGAATATCCTGATGAGTATAATTATGAATGAAAGTCAAAGTTCTTCTACACTGAGACAAGCATGTTGAGGATGTGTTGAAGTGAGACCTGGAGAGCATTCCCAGAGGAGTGACTTTCAGAGAGCCCACCAGCATGGCCAGAGACATCCCTGGAGCTTCCCGCTCGATCACCTCTTTAGTGGCCTGGACAGACAGACAGGACGACAGAGAGAAAGAAAAAGGACAAATTATGTCTCTTTAATATGTCAAATATGTCTAGACCGGCTGAGATTAAATGAAGGAGTCTCAAACAGTGGTCAAATGTGCCAAGATACCAAAGATTGCAATCAAAAACCAGAGATCTCAAATATGAACTGAAACATTTTTCATGAAATGATCTGAGCTGTTATCCACATTAGAGCATCACTTATTGTATGTCAACAACTGTCTTATATGTCTGTTTTTAATTCTCTTGAGACAAAGTTAATAATTTATATATTTCATGAAATGAAACATTACTAAGAACATTATGTCTTCTGAGCTATTGAAGAGCAACCTCTGAGCAATACCGTGTTCCTCTTGGAGAGAAGCTTCACGGGAATGTCACAGATCAACAGGGGCTGGTCACATTAAAACCCTGGGTGATCCTACAGTATCACTCACTGCACAAAATAATCATCTGTGTGTCTCTGTGTGTGTGTGTTCTTTGTCCTTGAGTGACACTTCAAACATCATTAGAGGGATAGAGGGAGAAGAACGAGGGAAAACATCAAAGGAGGAGTATTGATGAGACTCATGGGTCGAGAGAGAGAGTCCCAGAGTTTCCCTTTGCTGAGAAATATAGTGGAGTCAAAAATCTGAGACCACTAGTGAAAATGCTTCTGTACATTCTGTAATGAGTGAAGGGTTTTATTTTAAAAAGTATTTGGTGTCTCCCTTTTGCTTTATTGACTCAAGCTAAACAAAACCTCAAGTTATCCAGCATGACTTTAAAATGCTTCAAAGAGCATTAAACACATTTGCTTATTTGATTATTGACGAAAGGTGCAGATTCTTAAATATTTCTTGTTCAATGTATAACATGTCTTATGTTTAAAAACTGAATACATCCAAATTTCCAAGTTAAATTAAATTTTGAATCCCAGTTTTTCAATGTTGTTTAGGACTTTTGGACCCCACTGTATTTTTGTACATCCCTGACATTATGTGCTAATATAAAAAGGCACTTATAACAATTTGACACAATTTGTACTGTATATATATATATATATATATAAATATATATATATAAGAAAAAATTAAATGAAAAAATGTAATTATTAGTTTGCCAAAAGTAGCAGATGGTTTTGATGCTCACCCAGAAGAGGACGGTGGCCCCGGACAGTACTGAACGAGCACACTTGCTTGTTAGAGGTAAATAAGGCTCCATCTCCTACACAGCAAGCAAGCAAAGCAGGGATCATGAGCAACCACCACCACACACCTGGCACAGGAGCCCTAAACTAGCACTGTACTAGTGCTGTCAGTGGCTCTCTACGAGGACTCTTCCCGTTTCCAATGAGTCATCTGCCATCTCTACAGTAAAGATTAATTCTACAACTACAGTCTTTCAAAGCTGCGATCACACTGCAAGCAGGCTGCTAATGCTACACACACTCTTACACACACACAGAAACCGATCTACAGTATTGTCGTCCTGTGCCTGCCTTACCCACAAAACAACAGTGGCCCAGCACAGGATAAACCTGCCTGCTTTATCAGCTGGGCTCTGGTCTAGAACCCACTCCGGTTCCTACACAATACGAACAAAGCCAAACAAACACGCAGATTATCTAGTTTCTCAGTTGGCTGGTGGATAAACGAACCTTCACTACCAACTCACCTTCCGTTTGTGAAATCACAACACCTGACTCTGTCACTTCATATTCTGCCCATTTTCTGTCAAATTAATATATTATTAGGACCTCAAGAGTTTTACAAACCTAATATACTAATATGATGGTTTGAAATTTGATTGAATATGACTTTTGAAAATGAACACTAGGTTCTTCAGATTTGTCACTCAAGGTGATGATACACGGGGCAACTTTTTTGAGCAATGTTGCTTGGGCACTTTCCCATTGAGAATGGGCAACTGAATACTTTAGATCGGTCGTGGGCCCTGTGTCTCACCTGGTTGTCCGTTGACGGCAACATTGCTCAAAAAGTTGCCCCGTGTATCATCACCTTTATGGGCCGTTCACACAGAACGAATCGCTGCATCTAAAAACCTGAGACTTCTGATTGGTCCACTGTTTTGGAACTGACACTGATGAGGGGCGCTGCGTGCAAAAATTGAAATTCTCGACCTAATTATGTGGTGCTCATGTGCAAGAAGATGCAAAAGAAACAAGACGCGAGCACAATGGTCATACACGTCCGTCTAGCTTGTGTTTACGTAGAAAAACAATGGAAAAGTAGCGCATTGGAATGGAAAAACACATTCTGTGTGAACAGCCCCCGACTATTTCCACGTTTAATGAACTAGTGTATGCGGCATTCACTACGTTCAGCTAATAAACACTGAAATTATGTCTTTCCAGACACTTTCTTGAAGATTAAAAACATTATAAACATTCAGTTTATTCAGTCTGGTTCTCATGAAAGCACCTGGAGATTTGGTTTGGTTCTCACACTGCACATATATGTGACCTATTAAATATAACTATTACAAATAATCATAGTAATAAGAATATTATTGCACTTTATTTATTTAGTTTTTAAAAAAATCTAATAATAAACAAAATAAAGTGTGATAATACTATTATATTTTAAAATAAAAAGTGAGTATTACCGTATTGGCCCAAATATAAGACGACCCTGATTATAAGATGACCCCCCCCCCCCCCCCACCCCCCACCCCCCCAACGCCT